CTGTATCTACAGTCCATAAAAAGACAGTTTGATATGAGATTGGCCAAATCTATAGACCACACTACAGAAAAGGAGGCCTGGCTCTCCCCTAAAATGATAGCAATATTTGAATAAATATTTTATATGACCAATTTTATTAAGAATAACAAAGTAGTGATTTATTTTGTTCTCAAATTGTCTTTCATCCTCTTACCATTCAAACAATTACAATGAACAATTTTGCCTTCATTTTTTTGTGTGAAATTATATGTCTCTTGTTTATTTTTAAAGTCACAGTTAATATTTTTTGTTGTTTGTTTTTTGAGACAGGGTTCCTTTGTGTAGCCCTGCTGTCCTGGAACTCACTCTGTAGACCAGGCTGGCCTTGAACTCACAGAGATCCGCCCCCTCTGCCTCCCAAGTGCTGGGACTAAAGGCGTGTGCCATTACTGCCCAGCTTACAGTTAATACTTTAAAATTGATTCTGCATTAATAAGCCTAATGAAAATATATTTAATTAAATAAAAATCAATTCTTTCAATAGCCTAACCACATATTATTAAAGAGATTGTGGAAAAATAAATGAATAATCAAAAGCAGAATAATGGCCAGATGACTTTATGCAAATGAGGTTAACTTAAAAAGTAGTGTGGATTCGGTCCAGTGCAAGATGCCTTTCTTCTATGTTGTTGGATCCATTAATTATTACAGTGGTATATCATTTGTGTTTTAATAAATAAAGCTTGCCTGAAGATCAGAGAACAAAGCAGTCACACTAGTCAGTCACACAGGCCAGGGAGTGGTGCCCAGAACTGGGGAGACAGAGGCAGACGGAATCTCTGTAAATTCAAGGCCACATTGGGCTACACAAGACTGAATCTGTTTAAAAGAGAAACAGAGCTCACAAATGTGATCCCAGCACTTGGGATCCCACACCTTTAATCCCAGCACTAGGGAGGTGGAGACAGGAACGATATAGCTGGGCAGAGAGAGAAATATAAAGGGGAAGAGACAGACACTCAGTGGAGGGTGGAGTCTGAGGTTGGAGGAGAGCATTCAGGATCACCTTGTTGTTTGTCTGAGCCTTGGTAGAGGCAAAATCTCTCCAGTGGTTTGGCTGCTTTGCTTTTCTGATCTTCAGCTGGAACGCCAATATCTGACTCTGGGTTTTTAGTATTCGTGCTACAAAGTATGCTAGTAATGTGAGTAATGATTGTGTTTTAACACTGAAATGACCTTAGCAAAGGATATGTTTTGGTAAGTAAGAATTCTATAGGATGATATGAGTTCCACGTTAAGTTTTTAAATGAAAACAGATAACATTCAAAAGGAAGCTAAATGGTTTTTTTATTGTTGTTTTAAATATTGCTTCTGTTCTCTGTACTTAATGCTGGCTTCATTTCTGCCCAGTGCCTTCTCCTGCTGATGGTTTTGAAGTTGCAGTAGCACCACATAATAAATAAAGAGGTTTGGTTTCTGTCCCTAGAGTTTCTCAGGGTGCTTATGGTTCCTCTGTAAAATAAGAATTCTTTCTAGTTTTATTGAATCCTTGGTGATTTATCTGTCTATAATATCTGCACTCCACTCTCTCTCTCTTCCTGTTTTCTTGAGAGGTAATCTAATTTTATGAATGGGTTCAGGTTAATTCCAGGAGCACAGTTGCAGGAGCCATAATTGGCAGCTTATGCCCACGTCAGAAGCGTGTTTCCCAGGAGCTGGAGACTAGCTTGTTTTGATGAATTTCTTCATTGCTGTCTGAATTTTCCCCCTTGCTCTTCAGAAGCTTCTCCCCATGGGACCTTGATAGCGTGTGATCCTGAAGATCCCACCACTTCATTTTGTCCAGGCTCCAAGCTTCCGTCTGTCATTTTTGATTGCTGCGAAATCAGTTGGAGGGGAAGACTTTAATAATCTTGAGACCCAGAAGCTTGACAAAAATAGAGTGTGGACCACAGGTGGTGAAATCCCCAAAGCTATGCTCGGTTTTCTTGTATTTCTTAGGTGTTTTTCTACGGAGTGAGAAAGTGAAAGGGAATTTAAATGTATTTCCCATGCACTTATCTTCGTTATGAGCAATATTAATAGGCAATCCAAATAAAAATAATCAAGAAGAGAGGTTAATCCCCTGTTTGTTTTCTAACTCAGTGATTCTCAGACAATCCAGCTTAGTCAGGATGATGAAGAACTGGAAACTAGATCATGGTAATAAATGTGCTTGTTCTCGTGGTTGCTTCAGCAAGAGGCCTCTCAGTCACCAATCTCCCAGAAGAGCGTTCTCTCCCTTAGAACAGCATATGCTCTTAGTCTCCATCTGCAGGAACACTCTCTGACTAGACAACAGCATAGTGTTCCCACTCTGTGCAGAGCCATGACTGCCAGAGAAAACTGTGTGCCTACCCAGTTCGCACTGTACTGCATCTTGTGAATTGTTCTACAGAATGATGTGTACAGTAAGAGTGGACACTGTGCTTTTCCAGGCAGGTAATGTTTAGGCGTATTAGTTTCATCTGAAGTAAGGAAGTTTCAATCACAGCCAGAGCACAATGTAGTAGTTCCAGCCTTCTCAGGGGGTGTAGTCAGAGAGCCCCAGGTATTTAGACGTCACATTCACTTAGGAAATACCCTAAAGGAAATGACTTTGTAAGTATTTTAGCATTTACATTTTTAATTGAACAAGAAAATATTTCATAAAAACGCAGGCTGGGAATTCTTTTCCAAGTACAAGCCGTCAGCTAGGAAGAAGGAGGCTCCAGCAGAGTCTGTACATGTTACACGGAAATGAGATGAGAAGGTTTCCGAAAGCAGAGGGAAATCTCAGATGATTGTCATGTGTTCACGGCAGAGCACGCTAGGAAGCCCACTTCTTGGCAAAAAGGCGGGAAAATTTATGACAGGAACACAGGAAATGGAAGGAAAGGAGAACATTGTAATCCTGTCCACAAATAATAAATGCAGTCTGCATAGAGTGTGTTCAGCAGTGGGGGTGATGGGAATCTGAATGTAACGTCATAGAAACTGCTATTTTATCAGCATTGGAAAGACAAGGAACGGGGGCTGGGGCAGGTGGCTGTGCGGGTGTCCATCCATGTTAGGAAGATTTGGTTCTGTTTGCTGCTGGACTACAATGTCAATTTTCCTTCCTACTTCTGTAGCAGAACTAACCCTGGAGAACAATTTTCCCAGTTCAAGGACTGCATCGTCCAGTTTGGCTTGAAGCTGAGTATAGCAATGTGGTTTAAACTCATCAGACGGACACAGGGGTCCTTTGAAAGGATTGGTTTTGAAAGCATTGTTCTCTTGCTTCTGTTGATCGGAGGTGGGAATGTGCTGCCTGAAGCTTCTGTCACCAATATGAGCCATGACGTCAGGTGCACACTCCCACATGGTAGACCAGAGAGTGGGAGGTTTGCAGGGGTCTGAGACATTACAAACTATGATATCAGCATGTTTTATTGAAGAAAGGTCTTTCTCTGTCGTCCTGGCAGGCCTAAAATTCACTGCTAAAAATAACTCAGCCTCAAACTTGCCATGATCCTTCTGCCTCAGCTTCCTTATGCATATATGCCAGCAAACCCTGAATGATTTATGAGAAATTGTATGTGTGTGTGATGATGATGTTCAAGTCTTAGTTATATGTGGCAGAACTATTTCTAACTGATTTGCATCTAAATTAAAATATTAAGAAATAATATAAGCATGTTATTTAGTAGCATAGAAATCAATACTAAAGGGAACAGGATAAACTGAAAGCAGTTGCCTTTGATAGTGGGAATTGGGATAAAAACAAATGTTTACTATTTTTCTTATAATAATTAATATAATATTTAACATTTTAAGTTAAGTACATCATTAATTGTAGTGATATTTCATTTGTATTTTAACAAATAAAGCTTGTCTGTAGTTTAGAGAGTAAAACAGCCCCACTGGTCAACCTTACAGACGAGGCAGTGGTGACACACACCTTTAATCCCAGTAGCCACACTTGTCTGCCATAGAAACAGGGCAGCAGTGGTGCACACCTTTAATCCAAGAACTAGAGAGGAATATAAAACAGAAGGAGACAACTCTCACACACAGTCTCATTCTGACATTCCTGGAGGCAGGGTTGCCATTTTAGACTGAGGTAGAGGTAAGAGCCAGTGGCTAGCTGTTTTGCTTTTCTGACCTTCAGGTTGAACCCCAATTTCTGTCTCTGGGTTTTAATTAATCATGCTACAATTATTAAAATCAAATTAACTTTTTTCTATTTTTAGTTAGTATTTATGTATTCACTTCCCACCTATAATAAGTACTTCTCTTTTTATCTGGAATATCAATTGTTTGGTTTGGTATCTACATGTTTTTTCACGACAGGGTTTCTCTGTAGTTTTGGAGCCTGTCCTGGCACTAGCTCTTGTAGACCAGGTTGGCCTCGAACTCACAGAGATCCACCTGCCTCTGCCTCCTAAGTGCTGGGATTAAAAGTGTGTGCCACCACTGCCTGGCAAGTTATTTCTTTCTTTATTATTTTTTATTGATTTTAATGAGTGCATATGATAATTGTCTTTCTGGGTCTGGGTTATATAGTCAATATGTTGTTTTCTAGATCCATCCATTTGCCTGCAAATTTTAAGATGTTATTTTTTTCTGCTGTGTAGTACTCTATTGTGTAAATGTACCACATTTTCCTTATCCATTCTTCAGTCGAGGGGCATTTAGGTTGTTTCCAGGTTCTGGCTATGACAAACAATGCTGCTATGAACATAGCTGAGCACATGTCCTTGTGGCACGATTGAGCATCCTTTGTATATATACCCAAAAGTGGTATTGCTGGGTCTTGAGAAGGTTGTTTTCTAATTTTCTGAGAAATTGCCATACTGATATCCAAAAGGGATGCAGTTATTTCTTAATACAGTGTATATAAAGATGAGTAGTTTTCTTTGACTACTTATTTCATTATTATTATATTCAATTTTAATTTTAAAATGTTACTTATTAGGAAATATTGAAGCATGCAGTACTATTGTTTGTTAATTTTTTAGAGTTCAAGATGTAAGCATGAAGTTAAAAAAGCAGCAAAATGAATTTCAGAGAATACAGAAAGAATTAGATCATCAACAAAATGAGCTAAAAATTAAACAAAAACAATCCCAAGTCCTCAGGTAAGATTATCTTTAAGAATTAAAAATTATAAATATTAAAATTATACAGCAAATGCTGAATTTATGAATATCTTGAGAAAAAATGGAAATAGTTTCACTTTTTTATTGTCGTTATGTCAACTGAATTGTTTTGTTAGTAATGTAATTGAGCAAACAGCATTTTCTGTTAATACCTTGCTTTTGTTCCTTCTCTGTAGTGACATCTGAAATGAAAGTGTAGTAGCTAATGTCTTTTTTGTGTGTAAGTGGAGTGTGATGATTGGTCTGTGTCCATGTCTGCACGCATGCGTGAGTGTGTGTGTGCGTGTGTGTAGTTGTGCCTTCCTCTCTTGTTCTCTACGTTATTTTTTGAGACAGGTTCTCTGACTAGAGCTGGAGCTTACTAACGTGGCCAGCCTGGCTGACCAGCAAGCTCCAGGCATCTTCACACCCCGCCCACTTACGCTGGGTTTGTAGGCACAGGCCCTCAGGAGTGCTGGGGATCTGAGCTAAGGACCCCTGTGAGGCAAGCCCTGTACTGCCTAGCGTCCCCTCCAGTTAATCTGTTAGGACAGAAAACCTTTCTCTGTGATGATACAGACCTTGAAATTTGGAATTCTTCAGCGCAAATAATGTTAATCTCCTCCTATAGAATCACTGGAGGGTTTATAATCCATAAAGATAAAATGCAGCATACAAACAAACAAAACAAAACAAAAAAACTGGAAATACACATCCTAAAATACATTGAGAATGTTTCTAAGGTTCAAGATAACTAAAAAATATGCTGCTGGATAAGTATTTGGATGTTAGGTTTTTGTTTTAATCCACTCTTTAATACCACAAACATTTCGTTAAAAAATCCTCTGAGCTCATGAGTTTTTGATGCCCCTGTTGATAAACCTGCTGGCCAAGGGTCTGCCTTTCATAAATAGCTTATGTATGACTGATAGTAAAGAATTGTTGAATGGATGCATGAAGGAAATCTGTTCACACCTCCCCCCCCCCGTGTGTGTGTGTATGTGTGTGTGTGCGCGCGCATGTGTGGTTTTGCCTGCATCAATGTCCGTGCACCACATGCATGCAGTTTTCCCAGAGGTGGTGTAACCCCGAACAGGACTCACACCTGATTGTGAGCTATCATGTGGATGCTGGGTATCGAACCTGGGTCTTCAGAAGAGCAGCCAGTCTCCTAACTACCTATCCATGGCTCCAGCCCCACTCCCAGATGAACATTTTTACCATTGCAATTTTCCTGGGCCCATTTCAAGAAAGCCAGTAGTGAGCTCGCAGATTAACAGCACCAGGCAACCTGGTTACCAGTTGCTTGGCTTCCGCGGTAGCCTTGGCCCGTGTCTAGATTACTGCATGTGAGGGTGTCTGTCCTCTTTGTAGTTACAGAAGACATTGGCCTTGCTGTATTGATCAGTGTGCCGTCACTGTTCTCAGAGCACATCTGTTGTCTGTGCCTGACATGTTGAAGGCTTCCTTTTGCTTTCAAAATTGTTTCCATTAAACAATGGATTATTTCATCACTTTTGAAGAAATGTGTGTTGTTGTGTTTTCTGTGTTTAAAAATGCTAATTTTTGTTTTACTAATTGCAGTCAAAGATTGTCAGACTACAGATACTTCTGGAATAAGACCCTTTTGTTACTTACTTTTACTAAAAGGGAACTAACCAGTATTAAATATGAAGTATGTGATAATTTTCAAAACTGGACTTCACTGAAAGGAGAAGTTTTTCTACAGATAAAGTCTCTAAGTGATACAGCCTTGGCAGGTTTGTTACATATATTTACAGCCTAATTGCTTTCTCTCTAGCTGGTTCATCATAGTTATGTAATCATAGTATTTCTCTGTGTGTGGGGACTGAGGTCCACTTTTTATTGCTAGTTGGTACTGTAGAGAAACATGAAGGTCCAGTTGTCCCTGGAGTTCCACAGCTATTGCTCGTCTAACTTAAGCTACAATGTGTCCATTTTAAAGCTGTGGTTAGAAGTCTGATTCCTCTTGCTAAGCTTAAAGATTTGTCAAACATTTCTCTTCATCTCAATGGTTGAGTCGTAATATATGATCAGCCTCCCCCAAATAATTATAAATGTTGAACAAAAATACTCAACATTGCAGATAGACCAAAACTGAGCATAAAGACTAAAGCGTCAAAGACTGAAATAAGGTGTTTACGCAGTGAAAGACGGCAGTCTGAACAGGCAGCGTGATGTGTTACATCTGTGTGACCTGTTGGCCAGGGAGAACTACGGAACAGTAAACTTGACTGACAGGTGGGGGGCAAGGGCAAATAAACACACGACACCCAGAGGAACTTTGAGTTGTGGATGTTACTCTCCAGGCTGTTGCAGTGACGCATCCAGGTCATTATGCGCGACTCCCGCTGCACATGTGGCCTCTGGCTAATCACGTGCCACACGGTTTGTCTTGACCAGATGCAGCATGGTGCAGGGCGTCACTGGGAGGGGAGGCTGAGGGGAGGGGTGGGGAGGTTGTGTAATAGCTCTGCTTTTTCCTCACTTTCACTAAAACCGCTTTAAAGGGGTTTACGGTTATCTTCAATATTGAAAAGGAGTATGGAACTTGGCGAATTTCTTTCTATTTTTATTTTTTAAGGCCAGTAGACTGGGGTCAGGATATAGTTTATTCTACATAGAAGTAAAAATTATGAAAGAAAAAAATATGTTCTTTTAAACCTGAAGATGAGAGGCCAGTGACCAAGGCAGACGCAGCCTCTGGGAATGACCAGGTGCAGAGACAGTGGGGAGGTCAGCTTCGGCATGGAAGTACTTTCCAGCTCTCTGGAGCTCCTGTGCGCAAGGAAGACTGAGCAGCCCGCCTGAGACTGAAGCGATTGACGCTTTAACACCTTCCCTTGGGGAATAGACTTTATAGTTTGGATTTAGCTAAATTAACTGCTCCTTAAACCAAAGCAGAAACAAACAAAAATATTCCTTAATTTTTTTTTTAAATTACTGTTCGTGAAAGTTTTACTCTGTGTTTATTGTGTGCTTGGGGCCAAGAGTTGGCATCTCATGTCCTGAAGCTGCAGCTGCAGACAGTTGTGAGCCACGGTGTGGGTGCTGGGACTCACATCTGGGTCCTCTGAAAGAGCTGCCAATGTTCTTAATTGCCAAGCCATTTCTCCAGCCCCCTTAATACTTTTCAGAGGAAACATAATAGAACCTAGTCTCCATATTGTACCACCTACAGTGTTTAGTACACAATCAAAAATTTCTTTCTGTTTTTTTTTCTTTTTTCTTTTTTTTTCTCCCCCCCCCCCTCTATTTTCTTGGTTGGTTGGTTGATTTTTCGAGATAGGGTTTCTTTGTGTAACCCAGGCTGTCCTGGAGCTCACTCTGTAGACCAGCCTGGCCTTGAACTCAGAGATCCTTCTCCCTCTGACTCCCAAGTGCTGGGATTAAAGGTGTGTGCCACCACTGCCTGGCCCAAAATTTCTTAACCTGGGAAAAAATATTAAAAGTGTGGTCTATGTTCCCCCAAATAGAGCAGTTAAATATAGAGCAAACTTAAATTGCACCAGATGATGTGTGGGAAGGCACAGTTCTTCTTTCTTCTTTTTATTGTGCTTTGCAGACCATTTTTATCAATGGAAGGTTTATGGCACCCTTATTGGACAAGTCTCTCTTGGTCGCTTTTCTAATGATGTGTACTACTTTAGTAAGCACATTCTGTCACACTTTGGAAATTCTGTTTTTTGTTTGTTTGTTTGTTTGTTTGGTTGGTTGGTTGGTTTTTCGAGACAGGGTTTCTCTGTAGCTTTGGAGCCTGACCTGGAACTAGCTCTCATAGACCAGGCTGGCCTCGAACTCATAGAGATCCGCCTGCCTCTGCCTCCCAAGTGCTAGGATTAAAGTCAAGCGCCACCACCGCCCGGCACATTCTGGCAATTCTTACATTTTTTATTGTTTTATTTTCTGCACACAGCCACCTTCAGTGTTACTATCAGAACTGTTTCGGGACACGATATGCCACATATATAAGAAGGTGTACTTAGCTCTGTGTTCTCACTGTTAGTTTTCAGAACAAACACGGCCATTCCCATATCTGTTCTCTCTGTTCATTCCCGTGTCTGTTCGATTGGGGCTTCTAGCTCGATCATGCACAAATCTGCCCTATTTCCTCCAACCCCGCCTTCGCTGAGAAAACTCTGAACAAAGAAATGGCACCCAAGTGCCCACCCAGGGACCTAGCTTTTGACCATACTTGGGCACAGTCCCAGCTCCTGTGGTCGCCTGAGGTCTATAAAACATCCCTGCCTTGGCGAAGGGCACTCCCTGGAACAGCTTTATGCTAGAAAAGGACTCCATTTAGGACTTTTCATAGAGAAGCCATTGCCTGGCTACAAAGGTTCAAAGGACAGACAGACGGTCTTGGTAGGCGCCAGTAAAAGCTGACTTGACGTGGAAGCCCCGTTTCATCTGTCATCCCCCAAATCCTGGGCTCTGAGAGCCCTGTGGACTCTGCCCTGCCCATCCTCTGTAAATGGAACAACAAAGCCGGGATAGCAGCGTGTCTGTTTACAGAATGTGCTGCTGTGGGTAGCTATTGCTCAGGAACATGACCTCAGCCTGGTGGTGCATGCCTCCCACTCCCACTCCAGAAAGGCTCAGGGGATAACTTATTCATGGAATTCAAGGCTATCTTGGGTAGCATGGTGAGATATAGTCTCAAAGGAAAAACAAACAAATTCCTTTCAAAATACAACTTCACCCAAGAACTCTAATGGAATTTGATGAGATTAGCAATGTTTTTGTGTCTGTTAAACTGGCACCAGCCATTTTACAGCCTGTGAATCAGGGAGCAATTTGACTTCAAATCTTACTGTCTATAAAATTTATGCTTATCATTATCAAAGACAGTGATTTCTCTGATCTCTGTGGACATAGTAAATTGAAAACCTCTGGAAATGATTCCTACTATAGATGTCATTAAGAATAAATACTGTCATTAGGATTCACCATATAGGTGCATTAAGAGCCTTCAGGATTCATGTGAAAATATCAATATTAACCAAAACTTAGAAGTTGATTATAGCCAGCCTGACTGGGCAGACGTAGCTGTAGACAACGTAGAAGTGACAGTTGTCTTAGTTTGCTCTCTGGTGCTGTGGTAAACGCCATGACCAAAGCAACGTGGAGAGGAAAGGCCTTATTTCATCTGCTAGCTCACAACCCTTATAGAGGAAGGATCTCAAGGCAGGAACTCAGCTAGGAACTGCAACAGAGGCCATACAAGAATGCTATCTACTGCTTTACTCTCCATGGCCTGTACAGTTTTGTGTTTTATACAGCTCAGGACCACAGGGCTTGGTGGTGGCATTCCCCAAGGTGATCTGGGCCCTCCCACATGAATCATTTTCTCAGTTGAGGTTCCCTTTCCCGATGACTGTAGCTTGTGTCACGCTGATGAGAACCTAAACAGCGCAGCAGTGGAACTAAGCCGTGATTACATTCTAACCAAGGAGTTCATTCTGCATGAGCAAAGAGTAGTTTCTCCAAGTATCCTCCTGGGGAGACAGTAATAAAGATTACAGAAATGATAACAATGGATTGAGAATGCTGCGTGAACTTGGGCTTCTGGATAAAATGATGCTTTGGAAGCTCACTGCGTTGGAAGGGGAGAGGTGGCTCAGAGTTAAGAACCCCTGTTGCTCTTACATAGGGGACCCAGGTTGGGCTTCCAGCACCCACATGGCTGTAACTCCAGTTCCAGGGAATCTGACACATTTTCTGGCCTCCATGGACACCATACACATGTGGTTCACAGACATACATGTAGGCAAAACACCAGTGTACACAAAATAAAAACAAATCTTTTTCTAAAAGACGCTTGTCACTTTTGTGTAACACTTTCCTCAGGGATGGAACCAATCCATTTTATTGAAAAGCTCTTTAAGCTGGGAGGCAAAGAACTCAGCATAGCTTCAGGAAGTCCCCCAAACTGACCAGATTCCCCAGTCTCCTCCCTGCCAAAGTAAATGAAAGCTACAGAAAAGACATTCAGACAAGCCCAAGATACAAAAACAAAACAAACAAACAAACAAAAAACCAAAAACAAAACAAAAATTTTTAAAAAACCTCTGAGACAGATCAGCTGCCCCAGAAAAGCAAATCTGGATCAGTCACTTGGCGCGAAATCTCCAGCCTGCTGAGCTGCCTATAGGCTGTGCCCTGTGCTCCAGGTCTCCCCGCTTTTGTGAGCTGTCCCCCAGGCTGCGGTGGGCCTTGGTGATGCAGCTGTCTGAGTCATTTCTGGTCCTGTGGTAACCCCAATAAACTCATGGTTGATCAGTTTGAACTCAGGTGCTACCCCTCCTTCGGTCTATCGGATGCTCGCTATCTGGAGTGGGTAGGTGTGTGTGTACCATGTCCCCATAAGACGTGGTTTTGTCGTGCCAGGTGGTCGTGGCAGCGCACACCTTTAAACCCAGCACTTGGGAGGCAGAGGCAGGTGGATCTCTTGAGTTCAAGGTCTTACAGAGTGAGTCCCAAGGCAGCCAAGACTACACAGAGAAACCCTATCTTGGAAAAACAAAGCAAAAGAGAAAGTTTTGTTGTGCAACAGCTGCTGAAACTTTGTAAAAGAAAATGGTCAAGTTAATACACAATAAGCTGCTTGCAAAAGATAAGGTCTGCAAATGATCTTTCTTTTCTGTCTTCATTTTTCTTTTAATTAATTAATTCTTAAAAAAGAACTATCTTTTCTTATTTTGCCAATGATCTTATTGCGCCTGGGAAGCAAGCTGGG